TCCGTGTGAACGCTCGTCCCGGAACGCATTTGACACGGGTCGTTTTCGACCCGAGTTCCTTCGCTCCGCGTGAACGCGGCTATTGTATTAAGCGACCCAGAAAATGTCTAGACATGTACGTGTGCATTGGTGGCTGCGCTTCACTCCCGCTGCTGATGCGCAGGTGAAGGCCGATACTTGCCGATATGAACTTCAATAGGAGTGTTTCATGTTGATAAACATTAACGTCATATGCGCACATGCGCAGTTTAACGGTTGGCAGCAAGCAAATGCATGATATTGTACGATACGTGCACACGCACGCACACACGCATGCACGCACGTGTACGTGCGCACGCACGCACGCAAGCACGCACGCACGCACGAATATATATATATATATATATATATATATAATATAATATAATATATATATAGGGTTAGGGGTAGGGTTAGTCAGAAATAGCTATTGATCATTAGGCTTTGAGCCAGTTGACTATTTAAATCTAGTGGCATCTAAAGTTGAGCTAAATTTGAAAGGTTATGCCATACAATCCTGCCACCAGAACTCCGGCTATAATCTGGTTATGGAGTTTGTAGTTCTTGAACCGGTTAGTATTGCCATTGCTCTTCAGAGTAATGAGGCATGTCTATTATCGGAAGTCCGTTGGAAACATTTTATTGATCCGAATTGTGCATGCAAACTGCGACGGCTGTTGAATTTACACTATGCCCGTATAGTGTGTTTGCTCCTCTGTACGTACAAGAGTGGAAAATGTAGACAAACCTTCTGCGTTTCTGCACCTAGGCACTGCGTAAATTATTGCTGTATGTCCCCCAGGCAGTTTCAAGGTCGAATTGACAACTACTCTAATTGTCAACAGACCGCATACCTGTTGACAATATATGCAGTGTTTCCCCTGCATTGACACGAGCGAGGCACACCACCTCGCTCAAATTTTCAGCCGCCTCACAGATATTTGTCCAAAACACCGCCTCGCTGACGAAAATCACTGTTCTTACATAGAACAGTGCTTATAATGCACCAAAATAGCTTAGAAAGCACCACATTGCACCAATTTTTCCAAAAGGATCTCGAAACGCGCAAACACACCAAACAAAATTTACCACCTCACAGACCTTTTTGGACAGGGGAAACACTATATGTGTGTGTGTGCGTGTGCGTGTGCGTGCGCGTGCGCGTGCGCGTGCGCGTGCGTGCGTGCGTGCGTGTTTTCTTGTTTTACAATATCTGGCTGACCAATTCAAAGTTATGAATGTTATGATAACTGAAATATATTTACAACAAGAAAATTAATATGTTACTTGATAAGTGAAACTGTGAAACTATTCCTATCTAGACTAGTCTAAGTCTCCAAGAGCAGAAATACTAGACCTGCTTACTGGAAGCGAAATACTCCATCGAGGGTGTGAAAGAATTGTGGGTGTGCCAAATACATAGTGCCAGGTGATCGACACTATCTAATATTATATAAAATTAGGTAATGATAATACTTTTAAATTTTATAATTATTGCAAAATCATTGCGTAATTGAGTCATTTCAGTGACAATTAATGTTGTTGTATCATATTCATTCCATTGGAGCATCTCATGCGTAGTGATAATTACATGCAAAAAGTCTGCATCTTTCTTGTGTTTAGCAAAAAGCTGGCGGTGTAAATGTTCCAGCCAGGGATACAGCAGAATGTCTAAGTTTTAGAAATTCAGAAACTAGTCAGAAATAAGAGATAAATTAACATTATTTGCCTTTAACGTTTTTACAACGTTATAAATTTGAAAACAGAAAAACTTGCTAATTCAAGAGAATATCATCACCTCTAGTCTCCTGTTTATAACAGTGGCTGTCTGAGCTGCGTGATAGGGTGGGTATTCCAGGGGGTGGGGAGAGGTTGTATCAAGTAACACATGGCATGAGGGCCTGTAGTGATGCTGGTAGACGTAGTGTGGGCGGCATACACGCTTGTTCACAGTAAGCTGAGTAACTGCTGCAGCATATAGCTGCTCCATGTATTTGTGTGTGCATAAGCAAGCCTACTCGGGCCCGTAGTGCATGTGGTGCTTGTAAGCCTCAGTTCTCATACATGTGCAGCTATAATTACGCTCTATACAATCTTGTGTACTTGGATCTCGTTTGAATGTTGACGTTGAAAATTCCCATTTTTGTCTACATTTACAGTCGAGGATGCTTGCAATACTCAAGTGAATTATTCAGTGTGGGGTAAACTACAAACTGACTTCACACTATTCCTTCATCGGCTGTAAACTACTTGAAAGGTAAGCAATTATATGTTTACTTGCATGCAAAATTCAGCATTTGTAGTAAACCTTTCAGTATTAGACATATGGGCATAAATTTTTTTAATGAAACCTATCCATGATATATATTTGGCCATCATGATTTCCATGTAAAAGTTTCATGTAGAAGTTGAGTGGCTCGAACGATAGAGCTGTCACTCTGCACCCTCAAGTTGCATAAAATTGTTACGTTTGAATCAGTTGCACAAGTATTTTACAAATATTTAAAAATTTTGATACTGATTGAACACGAGCATGTACGATTGTAGCATGCCTTGCAAAGTGTTTATAAACATGCTGGTTATAATCTCTAGCACTGTTGTTTTGTTTTGCTTGGTGTGTATCGTGTGTGCATACTATTTGAATATTTATGCCTGCTGTTACGGGTGACTATAGTAGGATTGGCCCCCTAATACTAGTATAGGCATACAGTATATACAAAATACAATAATTCCTTACGTGCAAAAGTCTTTTACACAAACAATATAGTAGTGTCACGTTTATATCCTGCTTGATACAACGTACCCCCTGCATTACATGGTGTGCATGTGTGCATATGTTTGAGTAGTTTTAGTCGGCAAGTAACATTATACTATAGTGTTCCTTGGCACGAATGCAGTCAAAATTAATGCATGGTCTTGCAAACACAAGACAGGAACTAAAATATATACATGGGCGGGAAAATCTCTAATAGATGGCATGAGTGATGCAGTGCATTTTTGTACACCTTATAATCACAATGTATCAATCAGCTAAATATCACGCGTATTCGCGTTCATAATGATCGATCTGACATGTGCGTGAGCGGGTAATTATAGTCTTCATGTATAACTCGATTGCTACCTATTGCATTAATTATCAGTGTTCATGCATGTTAAAGATGGACGAATTTAATGGTTAAATGAAGTTGGTTGTCTCGGAGTTGATGACAACACCTTTTTGTCTGCAACGCCATTACATTACATACGTGCGTTTTAATATATAATGGTTTAAATTAGTATTATGTTCATGTATCTCATATAGTGTGATTGATAACTGAGTTGAATTGTATTTTGCGTACAAGGGAATTCTGTGTGGAGTGTTGTAGTGGATGAGTTGTAATCGGTCTCTAAAATCGCCAGTAATGCAGTGCTGTCGATGCGGTAACAGAGCAGCACGCCGAGAAAGTCTCGAAATGGCAGTAAAGAAATCCATTCCAGACAGCCATATCACTGAGAGTGTATCGCATAGCGCTTTGTAGTGGTGTTCCCACTCAGCCGTATAGATGCGCTCACTGTACGCTTTCAGTGTTTGATATCCGCAGATAGATAAGTGAAGTTATTTGTCAATCGTCATCGTATCAATCAATCGTTCATCGATAAACTATATCACAATAGAAGTCACACTTGAGTATTTTACGTATGCATGCATGCATGCATATATATATATATATATATATATATATAATATAATATAATATATATATAGGGTTAGGGGTAGGGTTAGTCAGAAATAGCTATTGATCATTAGGCTTTGAGCCAGTTGACTATTTAAATCTAGTGGCATCTAAAGTTGAGCTAAATTTGAAAGGTTATGCCATACAATCCTGCCACCAGAACTCCGGCTATAATCTGGTTATGGAGTTTGTAGTTCTTGAACCGGTTAGTATTGCCATTGCTCTTCAGAGTAATGAGGCATGTCTATTATCGGAAGTCCGTTGGAAACATTTTATTGATCCGAATTGTGCATGCAAACTGCGACGGCTGTTGAATTTACACTATGCCCGTATAGTGTGTTTGCTCCTCTGTACGTACAAGAGTGGAAAATGTAGACAAACCTTCTGCGTTTCTGCACCTAGGCACTGCGTAAATTATTGCTGTATGTCCCCCAGGCAGTTTCAAGGTCGAATTGACAACTACTCTAATTGTCAACAGACCGCATACCTGTTGACAATATATGCAGTGTTTCCCCTGCATTGACACGAGCGAGGCACACCACCTCGCTCAAATTTTCAGCCGCCTCACAGATATTTGTCCAAAACACCGCCTCGCTGACGAAAATCACTGTTCTTACATAGAACAGTGCTTATAATGCACCAAAATAGCTTAGAAAGCACCACATTGCACCAATTTTTCCAAAAGGATCTCGAAACGCGCAAACACACCAAACAAAATTTACCACCTCACAGACCTTTTTGGACAGGGGAAACACTATATGTGTGTGTGTGCGTGTGCGTGTGCGTGTGCGTGCGCGTGCGCGTGCGCGTGCGTGCGTGCGTGCGTGTTTTCTTGTTTTACAATATCTGGCTGACCAATTCAAAGTTATGAATGTTATGATAACTGAAATATATTTACAACAAGAAAATTAATATGTTACTTGATAAGTGAAACTGTGAGACTATTCCTATCTAGACTAGTCTAAGTCTCCAAGAGCAGAAATACTAGACCTGCTTACTGGAAGCGAAATACTCCATCGAGGGTGTGAAAGAATTGTGGGTGTGCCAAATACATAGTGCCAGGTGATCGACACTATCTAATATTATATAAAATTAGGTAATGATAATATATATATGAAATCTAAGTTAAATCAAATGCTCAAGTGGTACATTAATGGAAAATATCTGCAGGTTGAGCAGAGACATCGAGACAGTATGAATGGGCGGAGTTACTACTTTACCAGTAGTGCGCATCACTGGGAAATATTATGTAGACGGCCACAGTCAGATCTAGGGGTCTTGGAATTTAAACTGTATCTGTAATAGTAACAATCCAACAATAATGGTAATGTAATGTAGTAGTAATTCTAACAATTCGCGTGATGATGTTCATATATCGATGCATCATCATCGTCCCGGAACTTGAACCCTGAACAGCTGCGTGCAGCAAGCAGCAGTCGGACATGTTGGGGTGTGCGCGCCGGGGATATACACACTATGTGCAGAGCGCTAACTGGGCGCAGTTTCACCGCCAAGCTAGCTGGTTAGCTCTACGTGTATTTTTAGTAGCTAGTAAATTTCATGTGTACATGTGTGCCCCGTGCCCACGTGATGAGCTTAACGAGAAAGAAGGTGATGCCGCGGCGGTGGCGCTAGTGAGAGGGTAGGGTGCTACATGGTTGTGGCTTTGTCTGAAGCTGCAGGCGGTCTAGCACGTGCTACAACGGCGCGTGCAGTGATCACGTGGGGAGTCGAACCGCAGAGTCACATGATTGATGAGAGCTGGATTTTTTCTCTAGCAGCGCGTGCGTCTACGGGCGCGTGCTCTTTAGGTCAATGGCCAACGCGTTGCGCAGCAGAATAAGAAGATGATTACGTGGGCTTCAGCATAAGGCCAAAAACCACTTTCGCGTACAGACTTCAACAACACGGAAGTCGTATAGCATCCGTTTCAGTTCAGCATCAGTTTTCGTATAGGAAAAACCCGCGCTCGCAGCCTGGGTGTGCGTGTCTTATACGCGTTTCATAACCGGAGATTGCTGATGCCAGGGACGATACACAACGTAATCGTTGGGCGCGCGGTGATGGACAGGATGTTTTTACACTAATTAATCGATGTGCTGACGTGTCAGCTGTTTTTAACATGACACTAAAATTAGTTTTGATCGCGCACAAGTTGCGAGAGTGCAGCTATGGAGGGATGCTCGCATCGTGGCAGCAGGCTTACTGGCTTCATATATATACTATCATGATACTATCAGGAGTGATACCATGTCGTGAAGTGTTTGTTGGGTCGATCGAATCATTGAAATCGCGAGCACTAGCGTCGTCTTCGTAGTGCCACATCCCATGTGAGTCATTAATTGTTTTTGATGCGTTTAAAGGAGGGATATCTGAGAACATGACATCACATTATGATTTCTTCCTGCTACTCGCACAACCACACCCTACTTACTCATAATCGGTGACTGATACGGTCCGGGTTGCATTTCTTAATTTGGTTAGAGCACAGAAATGTCTATATTGGCCTTGCTAACATGGAAGACAGGTGTGAGAGTAGCATCAATATGCTATCAGTTAACTCTGGTGGGGAATATGTGGTTACACTGTAAGGCACCACTGCCGAGTCAGTTCTGTTCTATTTATTTTTGTTCTCAAGGAAACCGCGTTGTTTACACGATGTTGTAGAAGAGCTAGACGCAGTGCAACGTAGGGGGTGAACATTTCCGATCACGTCTATATATATGTCCCATTGATACAGTAGGCTAGCATGGACTTTGTGGTAGTCCGGGAGAGATTTATTTAGGATGACATAACCTGGTCATCTCTAGACTGTTAGTTTGTTATTTACAAGTAGATAATCAGAGCATTAGCAGAAGTCGGTCGTATCGGTTGATCGATCAAGATACATACAGAGAAAACAAATTACATTCAGACATCGCTTTTGCTCTGTGAACGTTGCTTGCTCCTATTTGGTTTTGCATGGGTTTTCACCTTGATTTGGTTGGATTATCGTGGATCAGCTATCGACAAGAACACATAAACTATCTCTTTTCGCAGTTTATGTGCTCTTGCTGTCGTGCATGTTGTTTGCGGTGCTGTTTGCATGCTGTTGCCGTGGTGCATCTTGGAACAACTTGGAGTCGTTTGCACGCGTAGAACCATTTTCAGCGGCTCCTGCCGTTTTGTCTCCAAATTCGTGACGATTTCGCGTTGTTTGCAGTTCTTTCAGCACCCGCCTCTCTGTCTGCAGACGTCTCTTCTATCGCCTCCAGTCTCGCGTGCGTGCGCACTCTCTCTCTCTCCCTCTCGCTCGCTTCGACATGGCCGAGAACACGCCGCCAGAGGGAGCCGCGTCGTGCGAGCACATGTCGAACATCACCGCGCTGACGAACGCTTGCTGCAGCGGCGACAAGCTGCAGGTGAGGGCGCTGCTACAGCTCGGCGTGCCGCTCGACCGGCCGGACATGCTCGGCCTGACGCCGCTACAGCGCGCCGCGCGCAACGGCTTAATCGACATCGTCGACCTGCTGCTGCAGCACGGCGCCGACGTCGGCGTCGCCAACGAGTCGCGCGAGGGGGCGCTGCACTTCGCCGCGAGCTACGGCTATGCGCAGATCGTCGGGCTGCTGCTGCAGTTTGGCGCGGACGCGAACGCGCGCGACGTCGACGGCCGCACGCCGCTGCATGCCGCCGTCAGCGAGGGCTTCGCCGACGCGACGCACGTGCTGCTGCGCTACGGCGCCGACCGCTGCGTCGTCGACGACGCCGGCATGACGGCGCTGCATCTCGCCGCCAGCCTCGGCCACCTCGCCATCGCCAAGCTGCTGCTGACGCCGCGCGAGGCGCGTCCGACGGCGGCGTACTGCCGCGCCGACGACGCGGGCAACGTGCCGAAGCTGGAGACGATCGTCAAGATGCTCGCGCGGCACGCCAACTCGGCGTTCGTCAACGCCGCCGACCGCAAGAGCCGCACGGCGCTGCACTTTGCCGTGTGGCGCAGCGCCGAGTTCACCGTCTTCCTGCTGCAGAACGGCGCCGACCCGAACTCGGTCGACGGCAGCGGCTGCACGGCGTTCCACGTCGCCTGCATGGAGCCGCTCAAGCACAACGCGCTCATCCTGCTGAGCTACGGCGCCGACCCGGTGTCGGCGTCGCGCGACGGCCGCACGCCGATGCACGTGCTCGTCACCGACATGCTCATCTACCTGAGCCGGCTGCACGGGCTCGCCGGCGCGCAGCAGCAGCAGGTCGTGCTGCCACCGCAGAAGCTCACCGTGCTGCACATCCTCAAGGTGCTCATCGCCTACCCGCTGCACATCGACGTGCCCGACCGCGAGGGCTTCACGGCGTTCGGCCTCTGGCAGGAGGTGTACATGAAGCGCACCTGGCTCTACTCGGCCTACTTCGACTCGGTGAACGTCATCAACGAGCGCATGAACGAGCTGTTCTTCTTCAAGCTGAAGTGCGTCGCGGCGCGCGCCGCCACCAAGTACCGGCTGCCGTACAACGATCCCGAGCTGCTGCACAAACACTTAGTCGACTTGGTCGGCAAGCACGACAAATACGCCATCGAGAGGTGATTGCCGCGGCGGCGGCGATCGCGAGCGCATGCGGAGAATTGGGCGGCGCGTCACGGTTATTGAGTTTGCGCGCTAATGTGGCTTCAGCTGCGAATGTCGGTCTCAGCGGTGTCAGCGGCATCGAGAATGGAGCGACACCGCGAATGGAAATGGAAGAATAAGACGCAATGATGCTGTGGGCAAGAGATCTGTCGGTCTCGCTGCTGCGGAAGCTCGTAATGACGTTAATCGTCCAGGAGCTTCGGAAAATCGTTCAGTCAAGTCACTATGAATGAGTCTCGAGTTAAGCAAGCCGATTAAAAACTTTTTTTTATCTTTGCTATGTCGGAGCAGATTCTAGTGGCCGTGTGTGTAATTTGAGAGAGCATATATGTATGCAGGATATTTTTTTTAAGTCGGGGATTAAGAGTTGCACCTTTTTCCACCGGATGTGGAAAATCTGGTACACAGAACATGGTACAGTGAGTGTACCAGCGTACCGCGGCCATAGAAAACAAAGACGTTGTTGATATATCTTAAAATTTTAATAATGCTTATGTGACCTATTAATTAATTAGTTATACTTGACTTTTTATGATAAATATTTATACATTGACTGTGAATTTTAACATAGACCGTCCCTAATGTATGGCTAATGATAGTAAGCTTGATACATACGTGTGTGTGCTGGCCGTTGTTTTGGCCATTGCAGTGCCACTAAAATTTCTGCGTTCTCTACTGTAGCTGGCTGGTTTCAGTCTGAAATTTCATATATTTTGGTGCTTTTAGAGTTATGTGTAGGTTGCTGCAGCTGGCTTATATTCTGTATACTCGCGTATTTACTGTATACTCTGCTGAAGCTGGCAGGCTTCAGTATGCAGTTTCCTATATGTCAGTGCCTTCAGAGATATGTTTAGTTAACTGCAGCCGACTAGATTTAGTAGAGTTCCGTATAGTCTTATGCTAGCTATTTGCCTTCACTGGAAGTTTTGTATACTCTAGCTGGCTGACAGATATATTGTAGATAATGGTTATATATTTATAATTTATTGAATCACAAAAGTAAATAACTTAACATTGTATTAAGAAAACTATATGCTTATAACAGTTGAGACAGTTCCCGGTGTTAACCGCGCGTAGTAATTTTTTTTTATCCAACGCTCTAGGCAAGAATGAGCACGCGGCTACACGTATTTACACTTTCCAAACAAAGTTATACGCTACACGGCTGGAGCTTTACTTGAATTTTGAAAACTGTATTTCGACTTGCGGGTTGTGGCTGTGTGCATATATTACTAGTAGTTGAATTTTTATACCACTTGTGTAAAGAATTTGATAAAGGTTTTCTGTTTGCCAACTACTCGTTGAATCGCGTAATAAAATGCGTGAAAAGCCCGTCTCTATAGCAGAGTAATAATTGCTGCAGTATAATCCCATGGCTATGACATGTTTCATAATTAACTTTGCAGCAATTTAATCGCAGATTGAACAATGCGTTGAGTATTTGCTGTCTGTTGTCGTCAGTTATTGATTATAACTATACAGAATTTAACTTGTTCTGGTTTTAGTGATAATGAAGTGAGGGAAATTTGCCACAAACTTAACACGAGTTTTGATTGCACAACTTCGGGTGAAGCGTTATAAAATATTCTCTTATATATACGCGTAGAATACTCAGTGGCTTTGTTAAGGAAATTGTATGTACATTTTTATGGCAAATAAAGCTGCAATATAAACGTTTTTCGTTATGTAATTAATCGAATTTTTTACTAATAACTTTATACTATAAATACTATGAATAAGTGCTAACTTTGTCTTCGTTTCCCGCTTTAATTGCGGCTGCAATTTGCTTGATCATTTGGCGGTTGCTATAGGAGATATGTAATGTTCACCTGCCCTTATATGGCAATCACTCATCATTAAGATTGTCACCAACTAAACATAGGGAGAGTAGTGCGAGAGTTCTGCTTCTTTGCATTATCGATGCTTTTTTTAGTGAGGCTGCCCGCCAATCTAGTTAGTGATTACGTCACCGTAAATGGTAAAAATATAAAAAATATTTCAACTTTTTCACAGAATATAAGTAATTCTGTTCACTTTTTATGGTTAAATTGCTGCATTATACTTCCTGTCGCTTTTTCACAAAATATAAGTAATTCTGTTCACTTTTTATGGTTAAATTGCTGCATTATACTTCCTGTTTTACTATATTGTTCGATGTGAACATACACAGCAATTAATGTTGGGAACATTAATATCAAATCGTCCAGGTTTTTTTAACTAGGTGAGAAACAATTTTATGAGGTAAGAATTTGACCATACGTTTAGTCCCGTTATAGTTCTTCTACTTTTAATGTAAAAAAATGGGGAATTTTTTTACAAATTTTACCATAGAAAATTCGTCACGTAGTCAATTTAAGTACTTGTTCTTCTCATTCCCGTGTGTAGTAGTATTTGCACCTTGAGAGTGCGGCATTAATATTCAACAGAAATTGACATTTTCTCGGTTAGTTCTGTGTTATATATCATTCAAAGTCGTCAGTAATTTTAAAGGATCCTTAATTGTGAGGGGTTTTTCGTGGTTATCCATTGACCCTTTTCGCACTTCCTGGCCTCTCGTAACGTAGATTAACGATTTCCAATAGAAAAACATTATAAATTTACATTTTAACAAGCACCGTATCGACGATAAGACCACGGCTCGGAAATTGGTCTGTTTGTGTCGCCCTGCCGCCGCCGGTACCGCCGCCGGTTCCGCCGCCGGTAGAATTGGCTGCCATTCGATCGATAGAGGAAAAGAGGTTAACGGTTATATTTCGATTGCGACGATGTGTAATGTGTTTCTCAAAACGACCGAGTTGCCTCGTTTGCGGTAGGCGACAGCGGCAGTGGAGTGGTTGGTTCTATTCGTGCTGTAATGCGTAGAAAGGCACGTAGCCTGATGGCGGCGGCATTGTCAGCACGTCATCACCGCGTATATATACTAGCGATGTTCATGGCCCATCTTGATGGCTATCTTTCCACTCCCTCTTCCGCAACTATCTGTCTCTACCCCCAGTCCCTCGCGGCACAATTATAGTTCCACTCTCTTCTCAGTCAGTCACGCGCCCCCTAGCTAAGCTCTAGTACTATAGCCCTTATTCGCTACAAGGGCGAACAAGGGCTATAGTACTAGAGCTACCCGTCCCCCCAGCTTAAGGCATCGCCACTATTACATTTTTTTATAGTGGGTAGTACTCGACCGTAGTCACAACATCACTGAGTGTACTTCAGGCTAATGTCGTGTCCAACGAGGGTTGTCCATGCATGGCTGTACGTGTGTCGAGTGCGTGCGTGCGTGCACGTTGCGTGTCACAGCCCAGCAGTACTACAGCACCCACTGTTCAGCACACTCTCCGCTGTATCGCAGTGGTTAGTTTGCACTCTCTAGGGAGAACCTGCGATAGACAGCTGAAGTCTGAATGCGAGACATCGATGCCGCTTCACCGTGGGGGGTCGAGGAGACATTGAATATGCGTTTTGAATGTCTTGTAAAGCAAAGACCTCGTTTCGTGTGAGATTTATATTCATGCGTGAATTATAAATGACAATGTAATTGGATCTTCTCGCGGAATGTTTTGATTAGGCAGAAGTGCCGTGCGTATTTCGCATATTCACTATCCGGTTCGGACCGTGCCTTCGTGCATTATAGATGCAATATTAACTCCTCCGTCGACTCCTTCAATTATTTCACGCCGGGCTGACGGGATCATAGACTGTCGCTGATTTGTAAAGATCAGGTGCATGCGCCCCGCGCGACTGAATAATCGATAAAACCTGGCAAGTGGCGGCGCATGTCTACTACTTTCGTCACAACAAAATTAATGTGGCTGCGTGCTTGCTGCGTTACGACGCTGTGTCTGCGGTTGTGTGTCGTGTGTGTAACACGGAGAGTGCAGGTTTGCGCCGGCGATCTGCGCCGCGCTCGTATGGATTTAACTTGCCCGTATCTGAGTGGAATTAGGCGCTGAACCTCCATGGTAAGTGACTCTGTAAATATTTGTTTCGGTCAGCTGCTGACGTGTGGTGTCGGTAGTAGGCTTAGATACAAATATCGGGATATTTTTTGTGTTATTTAGAAGTTCCGGCGATGTTTAGAAAATTCCGAGATATTTAGAAAACAAATTTATTTTCTGGAATATTTACGACTTTTAAAGCATCTTTTGGGGATTTTCTGGGTTTTTCTTTGATAAACCCGAGCCAGCAATATAACTATCCAGCGGTGTTACTAGTAGCTTATTGCAAACAACTCATGCCATTGCACATGTACTGTACTGTATATTTCATTGACATTGGTAAAACAGTAGAATGTCTACTGTATAGTGAGAAGTTTGTTTGCGATTTTTTCGCACACTATATATATGTTTAAAGGACATTATGTTGAAACAACTGAGATATTTAGAAAAATTTTGGGGATATTTAGAATTTTTTTTTAGATATTTAGAGATTTTTTTGAAAATTTCCGGAAACATATTTAGGCAATTTTTTGAGATATTTCTATCTAAGCCTAGTCAGTAGCGAGCAGCGTAGTTGGTGAAATAGGTAGCGCGGTGGGGATGGATGGATGGGAGCGGTCAGAGTGAAAGACGAGCCGATGCGTTGCTGTACCTGTGTGTTGTGTCCCACGTGCCCTTTTTAGTCTAGCTCTGTGCATCCTGTCGTTATTCTGAGAATATATATATATATATAAATAAATAAATATATATATATATATATATATATATATACTGAATGTTCTTGTAAAGAGAGAGAGCGAGAGAGGAGAGAAAGAAAGAATGAAAGAGAGAGAGAGAGGCTGAAATCCTATTCCTAAATTCTCCCTTGTCTAAAATTCCTTCCTTAATCTTCCTGTTCTAAACAGATTATAACCGGTAAATATACTTTTAATGCATTTTTCTGGTTTTTATTTTTGTGAAGTTTGATATATCAGCGTTGTGTACAATATATTAACAGGTGTGTGTGTGGTTGAAATTCACTACAAATTAAATGAACAGGAATAAAGAGCACAACTAACACTAACAGCTTTCTCTCAGACATATGACATGTTGTTCAATGTTATGAAAGTGTCTTCATCACGTATTCAAGTTACAAATAATGCAAACACGTCATAATAATTCTGGTCCAAAAAATTTATTTGCTTGAGCCTTGTAGCACAGCAAACGCAATAAAATGTTACCGACTTGAATTATTTCAGAGATTATCCCATTTATTGCTAATATGTTATAGGTAATGTGTAAAAATGCGTCAATATGAATAACAACCCAGTAATATGTGCCCCTACGTACTTTAAGAATAATGGCCTTTTCATTTTTTCTGTCAAATACAAAAATGAGATTTTTGGCCTACCTACCGTCCATCAAAAATCGTCACCATCTCAGTTCTCCAGCTTATATGATATGGGTTACGACAACCCTACGTTGTGTGGAACAGTCCGAAGCACACATTTTCTCATTCATGTTCATTTTTCTCTACACGTGCCATTAACACTAACCAATAGATTTGTCATTATTCCAGATAGCTCGGGGATGGGGCATACAGTGACACTTTTAGTAATTAGGGTCAAATTTTGCATCAGGATACAAAAATAGAGCCTGAGCTAACGCATGAATAGTGGATGTAAGGATCATGCAAGGACGAAAGGCACATGTGCTATTTTACAGTATGTAGTTTGAGGTGATTCGCTTTGAATCTTATTTGAACGGCGATGTATGTATCTAACTTTGATTTTAAAGAGCACAAGCTACGGTTTCTACTAACATGTGAATATATCGCGTTCTAGTAGTTAATGAAACGTTTACTCGTATTCAAAGACAATGAATGCTAATTTTGATAGTTGTGTTGAATTCCATACACATGTCGAATTGAAAGAAAAAAACAATATTCCATTTACTTTTTAAATTCAAAAGTGTTTAAGACGTTTAAAACTACTTAAAATCGCATTATTTATTACATTTATTGCACCAGGAGTCAGACAATAGACAGGTTTTGCCTACTATGTCTGTTGTGTCACTGTCTATAGACATTTTGGTATAATTATACATACATACATGTGACGCCTGTCTGTTATGTAAGTCTGGGTTGTTTCTCCTGTTTACATGCATAAATTACCCATGTAGACACTTGTGCTGCCGGGAGGCTTCAAAGCTAAGCTCATCGATAAGCCTGAGTGCGACATAGTGCCTTACCAAAATGAATACATGTAATTAATGATTTTATCTTTTCTCCACTGTATCTGTTTTCCATATATGAAAAAGGGGCAACCGTATGTATATAGTACAATTGTATCAGGAGCTAATAATGACGAATAATTTGTCATTATTAGCTCCTGATTGTATGTAATGTACAAATGTATATAATTCGAATTAGTCCATATTTTAAGTATTTTTTAATAGTTTTTAGGGTCGTCGCCTGAGTAGTAGAAAGGGTTACAGACAAAATGAAATGTGAAACATTTATAGACCTAAATGGGAAATTGAAGCATTTATATGCAGGGAAATCATGACATAAAGTAGAGTAGGCCCCCCTATTTCTAGACAGAGCGTAAGGCCATAATGCAACACGTCCGTAGGCCGTAAAATGACATCAAATTAAACATTAGTAGACTGTGAATTAGCATCCAGAGAGACATGATACAAGATTGCGTTGCACAACTTTGCTGTTGATCCTGAGCACTGCTCGCGGATGAGACGCGCAGTTCCGCG